TGGACCCCAGAGGCCAGCAGAGGGCCCTCAAAGGCCAAGATGGGCCCTCCTCAGAGGCCAATGCAGGCCCTTAGAGGCCGGCATCGGGTCTTCAGCAGCCAGTGCGGGCCCTCATTGGCACCTAAATGTTCGTCTTGGGACACCAGAGACGGCAACAAGGCCATTAGAGACCGGTGTGAGACCCTCAGACGCCGGTTGGGGCCCCTGAGGACGGTTAGAGGCCCTCATATGCCAGATGTGGGGCCTCAGAGGTCGATGTGGGATCTTAGCGGTCAACGTGGGCGCTTGACCGCCACTGAAGTTCCATCAGAGGTCAGTGTAGGACGCTCAAAGACCGGTGTGGGAGCTATATTAATAGCTGGGCATGTTTTTTTTTTTTTAGCCTCATGACAATCGAATCAGGGACAGGGCCCCATACACCTATGGGGGCCCATCGGTTGCTTGAGGGGGGGGGGGGGGCAAATGATATGACGGCCCCCTTTATGTGCCTTTGGGGGGGGCTGATGCCCCCCCCCCCCCAGCGATCGCCACTGTGTACACATTACATACAGGCCTCTGAGATTACATATGTACTAGCTCATGCAAACTCTATGCAGGCCCCGGAGGTCCCACGCTAATCCTTAAGAAACCAAGCCGGCATACGGCGTCACCACCGGGCTTCTGAGGTGCACAGCACCAACCCATGAGGTCTTTTGTGTCGTAGAGCCACGCTCATTTGGCAGGGCCCACCCGCCACTGGCGAAGAGGGTCTCATGCAAGCCATTGCTGGGCCTACGAGAGCCTCAAGTAAACCCACGCTGATATTCCATATAAGATCCGGCCATACTCGTGAACCGGTGCCAGCGACGCTGACCGCCAAATTGACAGAATGCGAAACTGAGCCCACTCATGAGTGAAATTTACGTCCTTTGATGGCGTAAGAGAGAAAATGAAACATACAAAAAGCTTTTCTAGGACTTTTGTTCGATCTGAAAGGTGGGGCCAAAAGATAGTATGGCCCCACCTTTCAGCACCAAAGGGGGGGGGGGGCCGTGGCCCCTCCCCCCCCCCCCTCGTCCGGCGAGGGTTAACTATGAACTGCCCATATTTTTGACTACGCCTACGCCGAGTGGCGAGTCTATAGTTGCCAAGTACCTACAAATCTACAGGGTGTCTCAAAAGTTCGTTGACAGGTACCAGCCATGCTTTTTTTCAATAATTCGGAATCAAAAATTTGTATTTGTATTTTGTATTTATTCAACAGACCGTCAACAGGCACTTGACCCACTAAAAGACGGAGTCACAAGACTAAAAACAATAAATATGGCACACACAGGCAGCATACACACGCCGGGATAAAAACGCAGATACACATGTAACTAAAATAGAAAACAATGAACAATATAATGAAATAGGCGATGAAGTGAAAATATGAAGAAAAAAAAAATGTGTGAACGACCACTGAGCATAAGTTTTAAAATCCCATGTAAGGTGGGAAAGAAATCATGATACAAGGTAAACCAGAATAGCTGAACAAACAGTAAATATGAACACAGAGATAAACGATGTATAGGTACTTTAAAAACACGTAAAAAAGTATAAAGTGAAATAAAAAATATAAGAAAACATTAAAAATAGACATATTTAAAATCATAAAAATATAAAATCAATAAGAATCACCTACCAACAGTGACTAGTAGCCCGGAGGTGGTGGTAAGTTCGCAACGTATTTGATAACATGAGCTTTGTACACAAAAAAGCTGGTCGTGAAAAAGTCGTCTTTGGAATGAGCGAGGAATGAGTTTGTCTCTCTCGCGACACGACAGACCAACCCGTTCTGGACCGTGCTGATTCGGGCGCGACTCTCAGCGAACAGTGCTGCAGTGCGCGTCGGTCGGATAGGCACGCGTAAGGGGAATCGGGATAAGAGTATCTCAGAGTTCAGTTTCTCGGAGAACAGACTCTTTAGGAACAGGAGGTCGTGTTGGGCTCTTCGAGAGGAAAGGAACGGGACACGGAAATGCTTGGATAAATCTGGATAGGTAAGTGATGGGCAAGGATTGTTGGAGTGGTGGTTTAACCAGAGGAGAAACTTGTGCTGAATCCGATCGACGCGAACTGTGTGGGAAGTGGCTGCGCCTGCCCAAATGACCGTTCCGAACTCGAACGAAAGAAATTAACAGTCGAAATTTTGCATGGGCATTGGTAACAACCTTCCTCAAGCAGTTTTATTGTTTTCAAGCGCATTCGACCCTTCTTGAGCACACAAAAAGGGTTCACCTGTGACCATGGATCAGGCATGAAAATGGAGGTCGCAAAATTGGGTCGGCTGAGAAACTCTGCTTCAGGAGTAATGGGAATGGTTAGGTCGGAAATGACACATGGCAAAGTGTCGGCAAGGATGAGTACAACATGATGATCATTTAATAGAAACGGTGGCTAAAAGGACGAAACCATGCGAGACTAACAGCGTTTTGAACGACCCTTGTACGGCAGCAGACTCGTGTTCCGGAAAGCAGCTGAAAATGCAGTCCTATCAATTGAAAACTGACTAGAAGCTCACAGACAGAGGTTACCCAGTTTCAAAAATTGCACGCATCCCACAATTGTTGTTCTGAATTTATTACCTTGCCTTCCGCGGTAGGTTTTTGTAGCTGGCAACTATACAAATTTTGTACAAATGTAGTTGCCACTCGGCGTTAATGAGTTAAAGGTAGTGTGCCAGCTTTCCTGGACCGTATTGAGTTAATGGCCCAGATAAGGAGAACCGGATTTTTAGAACTTAACCATACCTTCAAAACTCGTGGAAACGTCTTAACCCTCGCATGTGTGCGGCGTTTGCCAGCTACTAATGTGTAGGGGGGGGGGGTCGGTTGGACCCCCCTTGCCGTTTGGCCCCTGATCGAGCTAGAGCTTCGCAGAAAAAACGAGCGTGTTGCCCGTGACGAGAGGAAGCCGATGATACCCAATTTTAAGGTCCTAGGTCATTGGTTGACCTTCCAGGTCAGGTCAATGACCCAAAGTCGGGAAAATCGGGACCTGTTAGAAAGTCGTAAAGTGTGGTTGTTAAGGGGTTTTTCGGGGTGCTGATCACGAATATCGTGTTAGTTTTGATCACAGATGATGTCTTTAAGCATTTAGACCAGGTCGGGTCAGGTCAGGTCAGGTCAACCAGTAGGCGTCGTGACGGGTATTCGTAGTACGTGTCAACCGCCTCTGACAGCTTCGTAACATGTTGCGAAGGTACCAAAACTACTTCGTAAATGTTCAAATGGTTGCTAAATTCGAATTCAGCTCCAAAAACTAGCCTAGAAACATGTACAGCTCGAAAAAGTGAACCGAGGTCACCCGAGGTCACCAAAGGTCAATGACCTGACCTGACCTTCCGGTGACCTTGACACCCACCCTAATGCATGGAAGCAACATCAAATCACATGTTTGAACGTTTGAAACCACGAAAAGCTTGCAAACGCGCGGCTAATGCGAGCCGACATACGCAGAATCGCGATTCCGGCCAAACATGGTCTCGGAAAAGAGGTCACAGGTCAAAGGTCATTTGGGTCAGGGTCATGAAATTTTCAGGGTAGGTGTAAAATTGATCAATGTGAGGGTACTGAAAGTTTCGTCGCGATCGGCCGCTTTTTACGCGAGTTATTCGCGAAAAACCATGGGGGGTGTCCATCCGACCCCCCCCCCCCCCTACACATGCGAGGGTTAAATTCTTCAAATTTTGAGTACCCCAGTGCGAAATTCGCCCCGACGGGTTGTCGGTCGTACCCCAACCACATTTCACACCACTACGAACAATAAATGCACACACTGAAATCGCTATTACCGATATGCTCATCCAATCAAGTTTCGATAAACCCGTTCATCATCATCTCCTGCGGTTTCGAACACGCCTGTTAGGTGGTGCGGTAGACCGCGCCCAAAGCCAGGGCCCCGGTAACGTGAGGTAGCCGAGTCGGGGCAGCGTGCGCTGACCCAAGCCGGGGCCGCGCGTCCTCCCGGTGTCATGTGGTAGCCCGGGGCTGCCCGCGGGGATGCGGTAGACCGCGCCCAAAGCTGCGGCCCCGGCTTGGGTCAGCGCACGGTGCCTCGACTCGGCTACCTCACGTTACCGGGGCCCTGGCTTTGGGCGCGGCTTCTGCTCATACTTTGTGGTGCGGTGGTGGTGCGTCGGGCCGCGCGCTCTGACTTCGGCCAAGAAAAATGCGTCAGCTGATCATTGTCATTTCTGCCACTTTCATGTGGTGAGATGGGGTCATAACTTTAGAGACGGCTGTTTCATATCAATTATTTTACATAAAATCATATTTCAAACCATAAATAATGTTCGACAGCCAAATAAAAGAAACAATACCAATACAGGCTTACAGTTTAAGGCTCGACATTGTGTTGTCTACGATGAGACAGCTGATAACTCATTCCCGTACGTCGTAACTCTATAAGGACGACGGTGAAAGCAGGGCGCCTGGGACGATTTGATCAAGGTTCGTGAAATTTACACGTGACGTTTAGCATATAGAGGGCCCACGGAGGGGGAGAACCTCCAAATGTCACGTGACTAATATGCCCTCCGGCGCCCTGTTTTCACCGGCGTCCCTCTATAATGACCTTTGCTTATTGTCACATGTGCCCCGCATTCGCGATTGTTGCCGACGCCTGTTTGCAGGTCAGCCCACTACAGTTGTTATACATATCGAAAAACCGATAAACTTTTAGGCGAAAAAGGCACTATTCCAGGCCCATTTTTGATTTTCTTTGTGATATTAGGTAAAAACAGAAGCTTCTTATCCTAGGAAAAATAAAATGGGAAATCTTTCAAAGGTGGCACACTACCTTTAAGTGGCGAGCCACCATCCAAAAGCAATGCACGTTGCCTACAGCAGTGATAAGAGCTGAGTTGTTGCCATCTCCCATTCGGTGAAGCGCGCACGGTTCTGCCCGTGCGTGCTCTCGGCGGTGTATGTCCTGCGTGTTGGCGCGTGCCTCAGTTAGAATGTGTTGTGTGCCGGCAGTGTCCATGTGCCGCTACCGTGAGATCAACGGCAGCTTCCCGACCAATGTCATCGTCTACCGCGACGGCATCGGCGAGGGATCGCTGCGCTACGTGCACCAGCATGAGATCGACCGCATCAAGGCGGCCATCACCGAGCTGAACGCCCCGACGCGGCTCTGCTTTATCATCGTCACCAAGAACATCAACACGCGCGTGTTCGCGCAGGGGAGAGGCGGCGGCGTGGACAACCCGCCGCCGGGCACTGTGGTTGACGACGTCATCACCCGTCCGGAGAGGTGAGTCGGCGCGCCGCGCCCAGGGTGTGTTTGGTGGGTGCCAGCGGTCCGCGGTTGGACCGGCCGCCGCTGACCACTCGCCTCCGCCGCAGGTACGACTTCTACCTCATCTCGCAGAAGACTCGGATTGGCACCGTCACCCCCACCATGTACAACGTGATTCTGGACGAGACGAGCTACATGCCCAAGCACCTGCAGATGCTCTCGTACAAGCTGGCGCACATGTACTTCAACCTCTCGGTGAGTAGCCGGCGCGCGTCCATTCGGCCAAATGGCATACTGGGAGCAGACTCGTGAATCACATATCACCATTAGGCTGGGCCGACTTAGGGTGAAGTCGTCTCATTTGATGACCTACACGTTTGCTGACATCATCCATGGGGCATATTCCACGCCAACCGGATGCAAAACTGGCAATTCCGACCTCATCCTTTCCGATGTTGACGTAACTTTGTGAAAATAACTTCAAATCCATATTTGAAGGCTATTATTGTTTTTTATATCATTCATTGCATGATTATTGATTACATAGGGGAGACTGGGGTCAATTGTAACATTTTTTGTTACTTACGGAGCTAGCGAAGCGAGCGTAGTCTTTCGTAGGTAAACGGAAATTTCTGAGTATAAGCGGCCGGCTTTCCGGTCGTGGTCACGTTTTTGCGAAGCTTATAGGGAGAGTGGGATAAGATGCCCAGGGTGGGAAAGACCCCCTCTAACGGCGAAAAAAAAATCAAACCTGGAAATTATCAGTTGGGCAGCGGTGGGCTGGTGGTTGCTTGTTTTATGAACCGTTTAACTAACATATATGACGTCCGTTTAGTAGGACGGCAGCTAAACGTCCCTTCCGTGCCCCGTCAGACAGACAGCCGATAGCGCCGGGTCTGCGAGTCGATAAGGGTCATTTCACGCTTTTGTGTGGCTTACTTTGATCCATCGTGACACTGAGTTGTGTTATTGCGCCTTGTTGCCGGCTGTGAGAGACGCATATTAATATTTGATAACATTTTTTTCGCTATATGTTGTTATTTTGGCATTCAGCTTTCACTGGAAAACGAAAAAACATGCCTATGATTTCAAGAATGTCCTGGGCAGCTCGTTGAATGAAGAATTATTACGTTTTTGCAAGATGCACACAAACGGAAACTTACTCGTACTGACCTCACCGACAATACTACCATCCTCGCTCATGAGAGTAATCGCCATAGACTTCAAATTACTGAAGCTGTGCTCATCAGGATGCGAAAGCTCCTAATTAACACTCAACAGGATCATGATGGCATACTTACATTGTGGAACCTTTTTTGATTTGTCGCTGTCCTGAAACTGGGGTCACCTGCCCGGAGGGACTCCTTGTGATTATCCGTGTGTAATGATTTTTTGTGAGCTAGTTTTTTCGTGACATTTATTTTGAATTTTCGTGTGTTCATAACGAATGCGACATAGGTATATGCTTCTTACATGTTATCAATGTAATCAACTATGAGTAACGACTAGTATCGACCGAATGTTATCATGTTATCAATGTAATCAACTATGAGTAACGACTAGTATCGACCGAACTGCAATGTATCATATCAACATCATCATTGTATCACTCATCATTTGTTCCTTGATAATGTCATAAGTTTGACGAAACGTTGGAATAAAATGTCGACTTTTGGAGAGGTGCTTAGCCAACTTGACCCGGGTACGAAAAGCATAGTGCGGAGTATTGAGCAAAACCACAAGAAGATCACCAACGCCCATTACGCTATCGTGTTTGACAAAAAAATGTATTAAAGATGGACTGCTCCCTAACTTCACAAATATATATATATATAAATATATATATATATATATATATATATATATATATATATATATATATATATATATATATATATATATATATATATATATATATATATATATATATCAGAATATTTGGGAAGCAGGTTCTCTCTGATACATATGTCATTAAACACCACAGCATGTTTGGTGTTATTCAGCTTTTTTATTTTCGAGACGTCGGACAGTACTTCTTTCCTCATCGTTCAAAGAGAAAAGTAAATCAACAAAGGAAGCAATGGCTGCGATCGAGATTCAAGTTGTCGTAAATCGGTAACTCATTAGGATGTAATTAAAGTTCGTTCATAATTCGTTCGCTGTTATATTTATCTTAGCTTTCGATCACAGTGTCCCAAAATTGAGTTTTGTCTTGGGTGTCAGAGGGGAAAATTACCCACCAAAAAGAGGGGAGAGAGAATGAAAAACTGCTGATTTGATTAGATCCAAAAAGAGTGAAAAACAACAAAAAGCATGCATTTGATTCTAAGGTGTAGGATGCTTGATGCTAAGCTGGGCATCCACACAACTGCTCTTTCTATAGGCAAAAAAATTAGATTTTCTTGGCTGGGAGTGGAAAATTGTTCTTAAAAATTGGGTGCGAGAGTGTAAAATGAATTTCATTTGGATGTCTTTACCCATCCAAATCGACAAATTTTGGAACATTATTCGATCAACATTGATCATCATCAGAGAAATGAATATACACAAATGATGCCGCGCAATATATGTCACAGATGAATAAAATATTAACATTTCTTCAAACATCGTCCTATTTGTTTCATGGCACCACTCTTTCGAACACAAATCTACATCCAGCTAAATACACAGGTCATAACATCGTTACCGTGAATATTCACATTGGATCGTGCATAACAGCAACAAACCACCACAATTCACAGATGACACATCGTTTCAACTTTCACGCATTACATCATTTGTCCGTCGAACAGTGGAGTGTTTGTCAGAGTTTTCATGTGTGTGTTGATGATGGGTGATGTGTCGCGGATGATGATGGTTTCAGTGATGGCCAGTCGTCGTTTGTCGTTTTGTCGCGCTATTATTGTGTTGTTGTTTGTCAGTAAGTCTCTCGTGAGTCGGGTTCCGTGTTGGTCATGAAGACGTGCCTTGGGTCCTCCGTCTTGTAAGTGCATAGTCTAGTCAGTCGGCGGCTCAGTGATGTACAGGGTGTTTCACAATTGACGTTACAAGATCAAAGCTCAATATCTCTGGGGACTGGGCATAATGACTTTATTTCCGCCAAAATTGCACCATATGCACCCAAAACCACAGAGACCAACATCCTTAAGTCCTACTCGAAGTGGCCGCCTCCAGCCTTCACAGCGGCAGCCAACCGTCTCCTGAAGTCACGGACTGCGGCACTCACAACCGCGTCGGGGATCTTCTGCCAGGCACGAGGTAGAAAATGACGTCATTGCCATTGAAGCCTGTGCGTTGAAGACTTGAAATCCATACAGGAGGTGCGTAATAGATACCTGTTGACTACATCACGCAGCCATGTACAGCCGTCTTCAAACAGGTCCGCGAGCAACAAGCTTATCACACAGTCTCTGATCCTGATATTCGAGATAATCGCAGACTCGGACCTCATTTGGGTCAGTCTTTCATCTGCTACACCCATTATCTGTCCAAAGGGCATTCAAAATGCAATTAACCAGGACCAGAATTATGTGCTCTTTCCAATGGTGTATAGTGTTTTCAGAAAAAAACACCTTTAAGTGCACCAAAATAGAGTGGGAACTCTTGTAACGGTAATTGTGAAACACCCTGTAGTTGTGTCACCAATGTAGTATACGTTGCGGGTTGCACAGTCCCCGGTAGAAAACTTAAGTTAAAACGGTATACTACATTGGTTTCTTGCTGTGGTGTAGTGGTCTGTTGATTGTTACGCATTATAAGTGAGGAGGTCCGTGGTGACTAGTAGTAAATTTTGAAGCGTATGCGGTGCTCAGGATTGACCGGAGTGACGTTTTTTGTGATGATGTCACGCATAGCTTTTTCATCTTTTTTTCAAGGATGGTGTGAGGGTGTTTCTGTAGTATATGGCTATGTTGGTAGCTTGGTCGTTTTTGTTGTGCATCGTGTTTGTCGACTTTGTCATGTACAGGTCTCGCGAGATTAAGCGGTAGGTTTTGCACTTTTACATTTCCAGTTATATCTCAGAAACTAATCGATCTACGATGAAGCCATTTTACCCGATCATGGCCGGCTTGTTACCCAACAAGTCGATCGCATCTTCGACACGTAAAAGCTTAAGACGACGAAGATATAGCGTGAAGTACACTAAATTTTCCAGGTGCAAAACCTACCTCTAAAACCCGCGAGACCTGTACTTGTCAAGAAGGTAACGTGATACGTCGTCAAAGTCACTATTACTGTATCGGAGTGGATATCGGTGTGGATATATCCACAGCTCACTGTGGATAAGTGGCCAGATAGAACAATGAGTCAGAGCTCGACGTACATACGACCGGATAACTCCTCGCTGGTATGAATCGGTACAGTCGCCTTTAGCATTCATGCAGCGTCCCAAGTTTCTGTCCGACGTCTCGAAAATGAAACAAAAAAGCTGAATAACACCAAACATGCTGTCGTGTAGAAATTCCAGAGCGATTGGGACAAATAAAAACAAGTGTTCAGCATGTGGGTGGCATACGTGCCGTCCGTGATGGTAAAACAAAGGCGGCTAGTTGTACGGCCTATTTAACCCGCGCCCCACTGGGGGGGTAGCCCCCCTCCTGTTTTTCTGCAATAACTTCCAAACCGCTTGACGGATCGACGCCAAACTTTCAGTACCTTCGGCTGCATCAATTTGACACCTTGTGTCAAAATTTGAACTTTGTAGCTACCATAGGTCGGCCGGAAATGACGTCAGAGTGACGTCATGTTCGTCCGATTTCGACGCAAAACATTGAACCACGGCAATCGCTCCCAAGGGCTCAGTTTTTAAGCTAGGTCCAATTTCTTTGCATGAAAGTACTCAGAATTGACCGCGCTATCAAACTGCTATCTCGGATTTTCAAAATTTTGAAAATTTCGAAAATTTTATATAATAATTCAAAATTTATATTTTTATATTTTTCAAAAAGTTTTTGACTTTTCGAAAAAAACGGAATATATGTGACAGAACGCATGATTATGACTAACTCTAGCAAGTTTTAGCTAAATATCTTCAAAAATGGCCAAGTTATACGCATTATTGCAAAAAATTCACAATTATTAATTTTTCAAATCAATTTTCAGTACGTATTTGACATCACACACCAATATAAATGGCACCATCGTGTTCCTGAGCTCAAACTGCATCCAATAGACACCTTTTTTCTTGAAAAATTTTAACTTCAAAAATTTGACCTTTTTTGACCTGAAAGTGACCTGACCTAAGCTAAATTCGACTCAAAATGACCTCGAATGACACAGACGACATCAAATTCGAAATCTATGGCCTAAATGGACCATAAAACATGTGTCACGTGACCGACGGATGATATAATATTTTCGTGACCTGTGATGACCTGACCCTGACCTGAAAATCAAAGTACAAGTTTGGTACCCTCAAGGTATCTAGAGCATCTGTTCACGAGTGTGGAAACCAAAAATTAGCCTGATCTGACTTCTAAGACGGCGGCCAGAGCCCAAAATGTGAACAAGCCAAAATGCTAATAATTTTTACTTTGACCTGACCTGTGACGTCATCGGTGACCTCGAGGTCAATGAAATTAGGTTTCGCTCGACAGTTTTTCCGGGGCTATCAGACGCCGTTTGAATTTTGACGATCGGCCCAGTAGTTTCGGGGTTAGGAGGGGGCTATGAATAGCCCCCCCCCCCCCCCCCAGTAGGGCGTGTTATACACAGACCCCAGTGGGGCGCGAGTTAACAGTCGCACGCTAACAAAAAGCTTACAGATCATATGCACACCATACTTTTGATTTTAAACTGTTCAGTGATCTAGCCCAAACATGTAGCGCCGCTTTATTTAGTCATACATTTATTTAGTTCACGGCCCAATTGTATCCGTTCCACACGTATGCCTTACATGCTTTAGCATAAATGACCAACTGAGCTGTTTCTACTTCGATATATTAAGCCTGACTCTGGAATAGCCAACGGATACAATTTGGCCGTGAACTTAATAAATGTATGACTAAATAAAGCGGCGGTACATGTTTGGACTAGATCACTGAACAGTTTAAAATCTAAGTATGGTGTGCATATGATCTGTATGCTTTTTGTCAGCGTGCGACTGTTAGAAAGGCCGTACAACTAGCCGCCTTTGTTTTAACATCACGGACGGCACGTATGACACCCACATGCTGCACACTTGTTTTTAGATGTCCCAATCACTCTGGTATTTCTCAAACTCCCTGACCGGTCAGTGAGTTTGCAAACTCCCTAGTGAATTTGCAAGCTCACTGATTGCAATATCATGGATTTCTCAAAATCCCTGTAACAGAGCGGAGAGAGAGAGAGAGAGAGAGAGAGAGAGAGAGAGAGAGAGAGAGAGAGAGAGAGTTTTCGTCATTTTTCGATTGTGAGTAAAGGCTACTTCATCATTCTCACTAAAACTAGACTAACAATGAAACAATGATGCTCATCACAGTCGTCAGTCACATGTTTTCCCTTTAACGCCACAAGCCCCTAATGTAAATGGCCTGGCTGGGTGGGAGGAGGGCTAGTGCGCCCCGGCTGACTAGGCGCCGTGCTGCTGTCCCACAGTCTACGGTGCGTGTGCCAGCGCCGAGCCACTACGCCCACCGTCTGGCGTTCCTGGTGGGCCAGTCTCTGCACCAGCAGCATCACCTGGACCTGGCCAACGAGCTGTTCTTCCTGTAGGACGGACAGCGCAGCCAAGAGCGGCCGGTGCACATTCCTGCCGATGGCGCTCGACGGCCACCCAGCCCAGTACAACCGGCCACCGGGCCGCCAGCACTGTGTCCGTCTCTCTGTGTGTAAATATTTCGGACCGGTCCGCGGGAGGTCTGCCGGAGCGCTCCGCCATCCGCCAAGTGGTGTCGCGCCTGTACCCCCTCCAGCACTCGGGCAGCAGGGTTCAGAGCTTTTCTGATGTGGATTATTTGCTATGTTCCTGGACTGAGAAGTGGCGCGGGTAGCGCTGGTCCAGCGGAGCGTCCTGTGTTCGTGGCCGTGTGGGATAGCACTCGGCGGCGGCTGTTCTGCTCTTAGCCAAGAGAAGATTCGTTCATCTAATAAATATTTTCGTGAAAAGAGTTTTTTTGGGCATAAACCCGGCGTCCAGGAGTGTCCCGTAAGTGCCAATAAAGCATATGAGAACCAACCGAAAATTCTAAACTTTGATGCTGGTGTGTAAACAACAGATAACGCATTGAAAACTAAGTGGGTATTTTGGAAACCCAACCCGTGGCTGTACCTACCCTTAGTTTGTTTTTCAATAGAAAAACAATTCTAAAGAATAGTGTTTGTCTCCTTCGGGTATATAGCTCCGAGAGTATTTGCCCGTAGCGAGTTTAGTTGCTTTATCAGCGTCGGAGGTTGATAAGGGCCCTGTTCGGCAAGAGCATCCTACTGTAAGATTTTGCAGCAGGAATGCGCAGTAGGGGTCTCGGGTGACAGGCTCCGCCCTTCGGCGTATGACGTCACATGTGTGACATCGGCAATCGCTAAATATTTCAGTTTCATGCAGCAAGAAAAGTAGCTAAAGCAGGCGAAAGTGACGCGAACTAAAGTTAACCGTCCTATATTTTTATTATAAGCGGTTTGTATCTTCGTTTTTTTTTTTTTTTTTTTTGTGTATCATTATCACTATTTTTGGTGGCACATTGCTATCAAACACATTTGAACGTTTTTTTTTGTATTAGTCATTGAACGAAAACCATGAATCCATCGGCGCCACGGTTCGCCGCGCGTCGAATGGCCGCCGTGGGTGGCCCTCGGCTCTGCGGGGCGGTGTTTCACGGCAGAGCGCTGCGCGCGGCGGTACGTTGGGTTTCCATGGCAATATCAAGAAACTTCACTCTGACGCTACGCTATGACGTCATCGCAAAACGCTGGAGCCCCGGCGCCAGCACCATCAGCACGCTAGTAGCATTCGCACTCAAAGTTCTGTTCAATTGGTAGGGGAGGTTGGGGTAATTTGGCCGGTGGTGTAAATTGGCCGCCCCACCTGTACGATGTCTAATATAAGTGAGTGAAATAACCAGTTTCTAATCATTTGTCATGGGTAGGGTAGAACTAACTGGAGGACAAATGTCAAAACTTAACCTCTCGTAGTTTTATTCAAAATTAATAAACGTTAATTTCATTAGAAAATGGCAACTTTTACTTCTGTTAAAAAAAGTTGTATAATAGGGCGTGTCGCTAGTCAGTAGTCACAGATCACGGTGCTCCAATGATTTTCCTTTGCTCCAGGACAACCGAAGACCAGCTGTATAAGAAAAACTTTCGAGAAATTAAAACCTATCCTGCCGCGTCATGTCAAAGTTTCGAGCAAAATCAGTTTCTGGCGTGGAGGTCTCCTGATAGGGGAGAGTGGGGCCAGTTGAACCACTTTTTACCTATATATTGGCATGCACAGCGAGATCTAGTTGCCATGTTTAAAAATGCACAATACCATGGAAGAATATACCTACTCTTTTGGCTTTATTTTAAGATATGTGAAATTATGTTTCAAACATATTTTGCTGCCAAACGCATGCTTATAAAACAACTCTACGCCCGTTTCAAAGACCCCGATGCGAGGGTCAATTGAACCAGCCCATGAGTCAATTGGACCTATCCGTAACAATGGCATGTTTATTTATTTATTCAACTCATCGCTAACGGGAACTCCCAATTACAGGCATTCATGAAGTTAAAATGCATGATAAAATAATCATTCTAAAGGCAATTGTAAAAATAAACTAATAAAATGAATACGTTGATAAACGAGACACAAACACTGATCACAAGACTATCTAAAGTGAAATACTTGTGCAAGTACGTGAGTGCGAAATGTATACAGAGAATCATCTAAAATGTCTGCCAGCGGACGTTACAACAAGAACTCGTTCACAACCCTCGGCAGTCTCACAAACAGTCCGCTTCTGATAGTGTCTACTCTGGCAAACGATACATGAAATAAGATCCGCTGCCGTGTAGTACCCACAGCAGGTCTCGCGAGGTTAAGCGGTAGGTTTTGCACTTTTACATTTCCGATTATATCTCAGCAACTAATCGATCCTCGATCTACGATGAAGCCATTTTACACGATCATGGCCGGCTTGTTACCCAACAAGTCGATCGCATCTTCAACAATAAAAAGCTTAACCCGCGCCCCAGTGGCGGTCTCGGCCAACTTCGCCCTAGTGGGGGGGGGGGGGGGCATATGTTACCACCCACCTATAACTCAAAAACTAAGAAGGATAGAAAGACGCGGTAAAAAGCAGTCGATAGCTCTCAATGCGTACGTTGGAAAGTATTTCGGTCATTTTTCATCTTAGAGCAATATCGGGGTCACCAGAGGTCATCAAAGGTCAAAATTTGCGAATTGTCATTATATTTTTCAGAAAACATGCCGCTATCTCAGGAACTATGGTAGCTAGAATAACGCATGGAAGCAATCGATAGCTTTTGAACTCTTCTTTTGAAAAGGTCATTATCAATATTGACCTCAGGTCAACGGTTTAGCCTCCAGAGGGCAAAAACTCCAAAAATAGCTGTTTTTCGAAAAGTGTTTTTCGACAATAACTTTCGACTACAAAAAGCCACGACATTTCTATTGCCAGAATCGTGTTCCCCTTGCCGAGACGCGTCGAATGAACTATAATTTGACCTTGAAAGGTCAACTTCAAATTTGACCTCAGGTCAAGTTCATGACCTTACCGGAAAAGGTCATGTTGCATATCAGTCGATGCGTCTCAACAAGGCAAACACAATGAGACCATCCCCAGCGTTCTATCTCTTTCCAATCGCGAGTTATTGGCAAAAAACTGTTTGTAGCCTCAAGTGACCTCGGATGACCTGTCTAGAGGCTATCAGTAAAAATGACACCTTGGTCATCACGAGTGGACTAAATCATTGTGATTCTGAAATATTTGGACTGTTCCGATGCGTACACCGGATCTAGAGGCATTTTCATTTTTCTCCATTGACTTGTAATGGAAAGGTCACGCCACTGACCTGACTTTAGGTCACGGATATAAAAAATCCGAGATATACAAATTGTAGGCGCCCATAACATCATGCACCACCAAGTTTCAAACCTTTCTGACAAACACTGCAGGCTGGACATGATTGCAAACTTTTTTAGGCTTGGTCAATTAACTTGACCTGGTGACCTGACCTGACATTACCTGGGGTCAAAAATTTCACACATTGTCCAAAATTGATGTACCAAAGCTACCCCAAGCGGCGCGGCGCTACGCGCCGTGGTTTTTTATTCACACGCAAAAAACGCGACAGGGTGGTAACATATGCCCCCCCCCCCCCCCCCCCCCCCCCCCACTGGGGCGAAGGTTAAAGGGATATGTTCACCTTGAAAAAGTGGAGTGGATGTTCCAGAACACTTGAAATAGTCGATAATACCTAAATGGATGGCTACATGCCATTAATTGGCCGAATTTTGATGAAAATAATGAAAAACTAAATTTAAAGTAATGACGTAATTTATGGATATGACGTCATACACGACACAAAGCCACCTGATGTGAAAGAAGCGAACTACAATTCGCTACAAGTTATGGTGTATCAATGTGCTACAGACATTGCGCACACGTTTCGATAATTACGCAAAAGTGTTTGGCTGTGTTATGGCTATTTGTGTGCATTTTTTTTCAACGTAACATTTTCAAGTAATTTTATTTGTATTTTATTTTTGAAACGAACCAAAGTTCGTCCTACTTGTGACTCAAAAAGGCTTTGGTAATGAAACTTTAAAGTGATATAGCCATGGAGAATATTGGATATCCTACTGCCTTGATTGGATGGATCATGGAACACTGGTGAATCAAAGTCAAATTTATTAATTTGAATTACGAAGTGCTGAACCTCATCATAATTTAAGCCATGCATGACAAAATTCACGATGCAGAACAGTTCAGAAACTTGACTTTGGGTTGAATTTACGTTAATTTAGGTACCCATCTGATGTTCAATATGATTCTACACCTTTTTAGGCTCAAGTTCGAATAAGTCAAGTTCAATTCGAATAAGTCAACTCCATATTGGCTGACGTC